TTTATGGAAATGAATGAGTTTGAAATAGAGTCTTCGATTTTCGAGACCACAAAGTTTTATTTTGGAATGTAGTGTTATTGGATCGATCGAGTACTCTTTCGTTATAACTCTGGCACAAACGCTGCACGTCATCTAGAATAGACGGATGTGATTTAAATGAACTATCGTAAAGAATAAAAGCATATTCAAGAACCGGCCTGACACATATTTTGTAAAGATGGAAACGAAGATGTAGTGATGCGCTGCCGAACACTCTAGAAATAGAACCTAACATCCTTCTGCATTTAGTAGCCGTTTTATTTATGTTCTTTGCAAGTCAGATTGTGAACAAGATGCACTCCGAGCAATTTTAAAGAAGAAACGTACTCAAGCGAAATACCATTTAGTTTCAGTTCACCTAACTTATCTGTACTGGAAAGGACAGTAGAAAGAATAATCCATTTATTAGCGTTAAGTTTCACTAGCATCCTCTCACACCACTCCGACATTTCGTTCACACATTCTCGAGTTGCGCTTAAATTTGTATTTTCAAAATCCACAACACAGTAGACATCGTTGGCGAGAAGCGAAGTCAGTTTTGAGGCTCCCAGGGAAGTCGGAAGATCATTAATGAAGATCAAAAAGAGAATTGGACCTAAAATACTACCCTGCGGCACTCCTGAAGTAACGGTTACTCTTTTGGAGAGAGCAGATTCTATGAAAACTACTTGTAATCGATTGGACAAATAAGATGCAAACCAATTATACAGATCTCCATCAATTCCAGCATGTGATAATTTTCCTAAAGAATATGACGTGGAACTTTATCAAATGCCTTTTCAAAATCCAATGACGCTCCTATTAGTTTCTTTTTATCGCTGAGACAATTATTTATAAAATTAGTTAAATAAATCAGAGCATCTAGAGTAGATGGCCAAGGACGAAAACCAAATTGTTGGGCACAGAAGAAATTCTTTTTTGTTAATAATAATAGAACGATTGATCATTGATAATTAACAAAAATTGCGAAAATATAAAAAGAAAACCATGAAAACTACCTGTTTTCTGTAAGTTTTATAAGCATGTCTATTTTGTATTGTCGGTTAAACTTTTTTATTGAATATACCCCATGGAGAAATTTATCAGAGTTTCACGACGTTGGGATCGCGCAGCTGCAACATCACATGCGTAATTACGTGTGAACTTTTTATAATTTCATACGCGTTTACAAGCGAGAATTTCTTTTCACGCGTGTCCACACACCGTTTTACGTGTTTTACTAGTGACCACGTGCGAAAAATATGACGCGAAACGTTTCCGTGAGTAGTTCACGCGTTATCACAAGTGAAATATATTTTTTACGCTGCCAACACACCATTTTATGATGTTCACGTGCGACCACAGTTTATTTAACGATATTCACAGGTGTACATGCCGTTTTATATACTAAAATTTCCCCATGCCATCAATGTGATTTATTATAAAAATTCAATAGCATCCATTTGTTCTGTTTGGTATAATATGTGACATCTGAACTGAATAATACGATAACGAATTGAAAAGATTTATAGAAATTTCAATGCATGCTTTTCATAACAATCTTAATTTGTCTGTGCTTCTAGGATTAACTATGTAATAAAAGTTACGAAAATACTGAGGTACATGTATGATGGTGAAGTATGACAGCTGATAATCAATGTATAACACAAACTTGAACAAACATCATTAGATTAGAAAACTTATTGAAACAGTCACAAGCATTTCACTTGAAATTATTGTCAAATGAACACAACTAGATTAAAGATATTAAACAAAAATTGTTTTTTACCCTTTTCTTCTAATAATGATTCATAATGCGGCGAGCTTTCGCTCACGGCAACTTGAGAGGAACAAATAGTTCTTCAACGTCTTGATACTTCGAAGACTGTCAAACTTTGATCCAAGTAAAGAAAGACGTTTTCTAGTTTGATTGTAAAATTTGCTTTTGAATAATGATAATGTGGTTTATTCTTCAAAAGAATATGTATTTGATGCTTCTTTCTCTGTTACTGACAGAAAGAATGTTTTTCTTTTGCTTCTGCTGTTAATAATAATAATAATCGCTAAAGAAAAGAAAAATGAATTTAAAAAAAAGTGTAATGCCGAGTGGCAATACTATTATACGAGATGAAATTTGTTTTTTTCTTTCTTGTTAGTGGCTGTTACTGTGAAATAAGAGTGTCGTTCTCTTTTTTGTTGTTTTTGTTCTCTGAATATGTATTACATTAATAAAATGAGTGTGTGTATGTGTCAATGTTTTCTATCATAAATGAGAATATTTTCTTTTCTCTCGTTCTTTTTCTTTCATCTAGAGTATGAACAATCAGTATGATTCCGAGATTGCAGACATTTACTCACGAATTTACCTTTGGAATCGGTAAAAAGGAAGAAAAAACCGGTAAGTTGGGTTCGAAAACAGTGTATTTGTGTGTGCTGCTTTTTTTATCATCACAAGGATGTGAACTTGACCGATATTTTGATCGCTTCTTTATTTCATCTGCTAATTTTTTTTTACATAAAAGAAGATAGCATAGACAAGGATTGCCGAATTTGTAGTTTTTGTTCCACTGTATCTCTTTTACACTTTCTGACGTGGTGAAATTTATTTCTTCTATGAACTCTCGTAAAAATATCGTTGTGAGAAAAGTACTCTTACACCATTTTTTATTGTTCTTCTGATTTTGCGGCACTACAGACAAAACGAGTTTTATATTTGATTCCGTTTTCTCTTATACGATAAAAATAGCGACTTCCTTTACTTAAACATGAAGTGAATTGATGTATTTTCTAAAAATTGACCTGTCGTCTGAGGGCTTCTATGCGTTTTGCTTTCGTTTACAGTTAGTTTAACATGAGAAATTATATTTAATAATTTAACAAGATTTATGTGCATGACACCAAAAAATTGAAGTCTGTGTTTCTTTTATAAAACAAAAATTTGTTCTGAGGCACTGATCATTTTTATTTCTCTAGGGTATTAAGATAAATCGATGTAATAAATCGATCAAGTCAGAAAAGAAAACAGAGCGTATGTAAAAAACTAGGAACGATTCTCGCTGAAATTTGATGATTTGATTTACTTTCTCTTTTGAAGAGGATGTTTGTGACTTGGACTGACTTTCCTATATCACACAAATAATGGTATCAGTATAAGAACGTTTCTCTGCATATATGATTATAAGAAATTTGATCAGTTCCTTTTTAGTTGTACATTAACTCATTTCCTGTTTTTGTTGTATATATTGTAGTGCTAATGGTAATCGTGAACAACAAAAAAAAAAATAACCAAATACATCTTATTATTATTAGTGTTGATGTCGATACATAAGAATAAACAGGAAGCTGATTAAAGATCGTAATTGGATTTTCAAGTTTAATAATAGCATCATTTTACTACAATATCATTTTCTTTTCTTTCTCATGGCTGTTTGTCATCGTGAAATAGAAAATTAGGGAATAGTTTACCAAATGAGAAGATGTTCGTTTTTTCTGATAATAATAATTAATATAAAAAAACAAAGATTCATGATAAAGCATTTGATCAATGCATATGCGATAGTTCAAGTCTTTGTTTCTCCAGGGATCTGTAAAACAGATAAATGGCTTATATAGACATAATATTAACATTTCCGAATCTATAAAGAGAGAGAGAGAGAGGTGTGCGTACTTATTCCAGAGTGATTGCTTCATGTAGTGATTCTTGAATGAACAAAATATGAACCTGTGATATGTGCACCAGATACTCGTCTGAGCAAATCTTTGTTCTTTAATAAGTCAATATTTGTGTGCCTGTCGAATAGTTTCAATCCATATTGATTAAGTTAATCTAGTTCCACTTCCACTTTCTGTCTATCTTCTGATGTTCTGAAAAATAACAATAATTGAAGAAAAAGGAAATGTGTCGCTCGATTAAAAGTTGATTGCGATAAATTAACCATGTGAAGAAATCAAAAGTCATGAGCTTTTTCTTTTGATTTGATTTTTTTGTTCCTTGGATTTATCCTTAGAAAGATGCGCAATTTGTTCTTTTTTAAAGTATGTCGTCTATAGTAGTAAAATGTTTAATTCTTTCCGATATCTGCTGACTATGCGAAATGAGTGAGAATTTTATTATGCGTGGTGCCATTGATTAATGCCGTGTCACGAATTAATGAGAAAACCGGGCATAAAATATAATTTTCTCATATGAAACGGAGAAAGTAATAATAAACAATATAAGAGTACAGGATGCTTTAAAGAAAAAAAGACGATTTATGTTAATTAAAGCAAGGGTTAACAAAGAAGATTGAAAGAACTAGTTTTTCATGAATTATCGAAAGACAAGAATATAGAATAATGTTTCTCTAACTTTGACTATTATATGATCTACACAAGACGATCAGTTATTGTTATCTTATATTTGTTTAACATTGTCAATTGAGTGATGTGAATACCATCAAACTGATTTTTCTGGGTTTTTACTCATGTACATGCGGAAAATTAAAGGATGTGCAAGAGGATTACTCTCGTTTCGTCCCGTCTCATTTCGTCCCATACTTGTTTCTTCCCCCTCTCGTTTCGTCCCGTTTACATTTTCTATCATTCTACTCATTTTATAACTATTCATTTTTTTCTGTCAACTGTATACTAATCAAGATTAATATAATTTGATAATTGATACATGGCTTTATAAGTTACATTTATTATTTTATTTACGAGTTACAATGAAACAGGTAATTTTACAGTATTAACACATTTGCCGCATTTGATTGCAAGCTCAGTTCCAGACAAAGTAACATTTTCATATCTTTTAAAATATTCCTTCAATTTATTATCACAATTATTGTATGCTTTCTTCCGTTTGACTGTTTGCGTGAAAGATTCTGTATAACGTGTATAATTATATTCATTTTCTTCTTTTAATACTTAAACTTATAAATATGTGGATGGACACCAAAATGCTGTTTTAATCGATTATGAAAACCTTCGACATGATTATTTGTTCACGGCTGATCAGTAATAATTAAATCATGAACATTCCAAATAAATGATGGAAATAGAGCGTCATCATCAACATATGTATCTGTTATATAATCATTGAATGTTGTGGCTGCTTGATCATCTGGTGTATATTCTGACATAATATTAGCCCATGTTTCATCAACAATATGTAACAACTTTTAAATATGATGTTAAGCCACCTGTCTGTATACGTCTCTACAAACTTTGCGAATAGTGGAAGAAACAACCAGAAATTTTACAATTTGGAAATATATTACTCACTGCATTAAATGTTGCTTGTTCAAAATCGAATACAGCACGTTTTGATTCAACAACAATATTATATTTATTTGTTTGTTCAATAATTGTTTCAATATTTGTTCACATGTTTTACCGCTTTTATCTGATGTTAATGTACAGATTGTTGGTATCATGTAACCGTTTCTATAATCATGAATAATATACAGTTGTGCAAATAATAATGGACGAGTTTTAAATGTACCATCCATATGCCACGTATCAACTTCTGATAAATATTCAATACCCCATTTGGAATCAAATACCAATACACGTGAATCACTTTCAAGTAAATCCTTGATAATAAAAACATTATCACGAAGATCAGTACCTCACTTTCCAGTTAACGTAAGATCTGACACTGATTTTGGATCATTTTTTAATTGTTCACGATAAAATGATGAATCAATTGATGAATATGACGGTAAAAATGATATGTCATTGTGTTTTAAACTACATTTCACTAATTCTTGTTCATGAATTTGGGATATTGGTGTTGTTTCTTCTCTTGCACGTGTTTTGCAAGTATTTTTAAATTCATCAACTTTTGCTTGAATTGGATCTGGTACATGTGAATGATCTGTTGGTGGATGAATAACTGTCGAAGCATCACGAACTAATACAATTATACTATTACAACTTCTAATTCGACAACGCCACTTATCAGTTGATTTATTTGAACGTTTTTTTGTATATTGATGATCGTTAAAATTAAGAATTTTGCCACGACGTTTTGTTTCTGTATAGAACATTATTATTACATAAATGTTGTTGTATCAAATGGTGCCATGAAGGCATACGATAGTTCAATTTATAGTCCATGAAACAATGTAACGGTCAAACCGTCAGATCCTTGCTATTATTTCATTCATGAATATTGTTTCTCTACAAAAGCTTTTCCGTTAAACAGTTAAACTCTATGATGGAAAATGACTTCGTTAAAATTAAATTAGTATACAGTTGATAGAAAAAAATGAATAGTTATAAAATGAGTAGAATGATAGAAAATGTAAACGGGACGAAACGAGTGTGAGACGAAATGAGAGCTAATTAACAAATACAGGACGAAACGAGAGGATACCTGTTCAAGAAAGGAGATGAAATATATTTTCTTCAGAGTTAACTCTGACTTTTTACATCACACTTAGTTCAACAATCTGTAATACTATAATTATACCTATTATTAAACATCTGTTGTCGTCTTTAACACTTTTTTTCCTTTTCTTTTTGTCAAACACGCCTTTGAATAAGCCTACGGCTACTAAATCTTTTACTGTTAGATAATAAGGAATAAAAAATGAGAAAAACCAAGTGCAAGACCGTCACTTTATTTTATAGGTTATTTTTTTCACTTATCATTAGAATATTGTTACCGAGGGTATTGACATTATGGAACACTCTTGCTTTACTTAAAAGAAAAACAAAATAAAGTCATCATCCATAAGTTAGCTATAAAGTTTAATAATCAATACATTTTATTTTAAGATAAATAATAAAGAAGAATCAGAGTAGGAGTAGAAATAAACACTCGCTTGACAGAACTAGACTTTTTAGACGATACTAAAATAGAGCATCATTAAAATCTCATATAACAAGCCAAAGAAAGGATTAATATAACAAGGTGTATCCGGCCGTTTGGTCTCTTCTTTCCAAAGAATTCAGTAAGTAAAAAAGACTATTTTGTTAGTTAAGGCAGAGCTTTATCGCCAAAAAAGGATTCTTTTAAGTCCGACCTTAACGAAAATTTCAGAGAACATATATCATGATCGAGAAGTAATTTTCATCTCTCTATCTAAAATCATGTCCGAAATTCGAAAAAACAAGAGAAGACAAAATAAACTCGGTACAAAAACGAATTTTACCGGGTACGAGAAAAGAAATGACTAAGCATAGAACAGAGTTCTGCAGTAAATCAGTCTTAGCTTTTCGAATCAATGTCACACTGATCAGTACAACGTCTCATTTTGAAGAGAATACTTTACTCTACAAATCGATGTAGTTTGTCAAACAAGATCGCCTGTATTTTGCAAAAGTCTGAGGCGTTGTAGACAGTGGTGTATTCTGAGAAGATTCGGAAAATGTTGTAGAAAAGATCTAAAAATCCACCTGAGGAGGCGCACGCTCTGTGTTCTAAAAGCGGATACGTGTAAGTCTCTTCTTTAACTAGGACTTGCGGCTGATTTTACTGTAGCCGATTCTCTTTAAATAATGTTGAATATGTTTGCTCATTAAAATCTGACTATGATAGATTTTTCATTAACGATGCTTTACGAGACTTGCAAAAAACAATTTTCTCATCTTTCTCAAAAATATACCGCTAAAAGCCACATGACTATGATTTGTGACTTTTTATTTAGATATAAGAAAGAAGAAAGATGAATATAATTAAAAAAAGAACTGAAAAGAAACACTAATTGAGTAGATCAACAGATTCTGTAGTACATGTGTAAAAACCATAAAGGGTGACTCAGAAGTCCTGACTAAATTTGAATGGTTAGTTTTTCTTTAGTAAAATACATGATTAAAAATGTGTCTCTAGTGTGTGAAAAGATGCAGCAGAACGCTCTAGAAAATGGCTCTTGATTGACCATTCTACCTCATATAGTGAGAAAGTTACAAGCTTAGAAACATCACGGAAAATAAAAATTAACCGTGATCTTGATCTCGGTATTTTGCTCTAAGTTCTGTTACTTAGATTTATCAGAACAAGTGCCTGTTTTAAATCGAAGCGCTGAAAAATGCTCTTCAAAATCATACTTAAA